CGAAAGAGAGGGATGCTGGAGAACTGCATCCTGCTTAGGTGAGATGTGGGCTGCTCATCCTCCCTCCTGGCTTCTCAGCCTGTCCCTGACAATTTGTCCCCTTTGGCCAGGGGTGGGCAGGGATAGGGGGTGCTTTACAGGAGAGATAACATCAGCCCTGGAGAGCTAAGGGAGAAAGGTGAGCATAGCTGCTGTGGAGTTCAACGCCTTGAAGGCAGGTTTTTAATTAAAAGGGAAGAGCCCCAAGCATTGCAGGAGAGAGCTTGGTGGGCTCGTGCATAGCCATAACCCCCAAAAGGTGTGGTGTGGTTAGAGGACAGAAGGCTGAGCCGGTGGATAAACCACTGCAAGAGCTTTGCTTGTGCAGGATGTAGTGATCAGTGCTGCTGCTGGGTGGGATGGAGCAGAGGCAGCTGGAGGCATGTGAGAGCTCTAGAGGAAGCTCCTAATTGATGCCAAAATCTTTTGGGGAGGATGTATGTGATTTCTGGGCTGCATGAATGAGGCAAGCCTAGTCGGGTTTTAGGACTGAAGCAGGGGTTAGCGGAGAGAAGGCTGGGGCTGAAGGCAGGTGACTTTGGACCCAGTTCCTCTGTGCCTTCTGGCCCTGGCTGCCAGCTGTGGTTGGGAGCAGCATGCCAACCTGGCTCTTCCTCCGCTCATCCACGCTCATCCTCCTACGTCTTCTCTCCAGCCTCTTTGCGAAAGAGAACCTGAACCGCATGAGCGAGCAGCAGCTGAACCTTTATGACCGGCTCATCAACGAACCCAGCAACGACTGGGACATCTACTACTGGGCCACAGGTACGGTGCAGCTCCTCGTTCTGGGATCCTTTGGGACAGGACAGAGCCCTTTTCTTGCTTCCCCTTTCTTCCTTTTAACCTCAGAAGCGAAGCCCACGCCAGCCGAGTTTGAGAACGACGTGATGGCCATGCTGAGGGAGTTTGCCAAGAACAAGAAGAAGGAACAGAGGCTGCGGCAGCCGGACCTGGAGTACCTCTTTGAGCCCTCCCGCTGATGTTGAGGGGGCTGCCGTGTTCCTCCCCATCCCTTGGAGCAGAGAAGGGGGCGCGGGGCCCTGTGAGCTGCTCTCCCCGTGGGTCTCCTCCTCTTCCTCCAGCAGCGGACTCTCAGGGCGCAATGAATAAAGCCGTGGCTGCTCGCCCTGCTGCGTCGTGGGCACAGGGCTCTGCTCTTCGGCTGCACTCGAGGGGGTTGGCGGCAAGCCGAGCTCCCGTTCATAGATTCCTTCAGGTTGGAAAAGCCCCCTGGGACCATCGAGTCAAACCCATGCGCTTTTTTTTAGCGCACCCCTAACCCATCGGCCCCAGCACCACATCTGAACGGCCTTTAAACGCCTCCAGGGACGGGGACTCCACCACCTCCCTTTGGCACGTTCCAGCTCCTCGCTGTCCCTTTGAAACCCTTTTTGTGGGGACCCCAGGAGCTGCCTCGCACCCGCAGGGACTGTGACTCCCTCTGTAGGAGGCTCAAGT